CGGAGCAGGGAGCCCGATGTGGGGCTCGATCCCAGGACCCTGGGATCATGACCTGAGCCAAAGGCAGACGCTTAACGACTGAGCCACCCAGCCGCCCCCAGTAAATAGATTTATATATTAGTTTTGTGGGGGGAAAGAACACAAGCACAGCAAAGTTACATATTTATTTTAAACAATGTAAAGGGGCTATGAAAACAATGTCACCTGTAAAATTCTGTGGATGGGGGTGGGAGGGACACTTCAAATTATTATAACTTGAGCTTAATTTTGTAAGTAAGTCACGTTACCTTAAAACCTAAAAAGTACTTCAAGAGAAACAAAATGTATATACAACCACTGTTAAGTGTATTACTTGCAGGTGAAAAAAAAAAAAAAAAAAGAAGCAGCTAATGTCCCCAAAATACAAGAGGACAACAAAGAGGGCATGAAACAGCTCAGACTATGAGCTCTGGAGTGAGATCCACGAGTTCAAATTCCCACTCCACTACCATCCAGCTGGGAGAGCTCTGAAAAGTAACCAAGTTCCCTCGCCTCTTGAAGCCTGTTTCCCCAACTGCAAAACTGCATCAACTATAAGGTTGTTGTGAACACTGAAATAAATGTCTGGTATATAACAGGTAAATCAATATGGGATTCTTTTTTCCTAGATCGGTTGTGAAGACCAATGACAATTTATCTTAATACACTAGGGTCATCATAACAATCACCATTGCATGAAAATACAATGTGATCCTGGATCCGTGGTGCTGGGAAAGGTGTGTGTTTGCATACAGATGCGTGTTCCTATGTGCAGAGATGCAAGTGAGACTGCAAAGTAACATGACTGATGTTCTGGAATCTGAAGCCCATCTGGGTACACTCTAATTTTCTGAGTTGAGCATAACAGAAAGAAACAGCCTGATCTTAATACACTCGTTAATGGATCCACTCTGAATAAATACCCCTTTCCCCCAAAAGTCTCTTACCTAGCCAATCCTTCTTCATAGAGATAGATAACAAGAGGATCATAGGAAGTCACAAGCACATAGAGGCGCACATCAAACTTGAAATCTAGGGAAAAAAAAATTGGGGTTCATCTGTTTTCTGTTATAGAATGAACAAGGCAATGTAACAAAGAAATATGACAGAAAGAACAGTCTTCCTCTCCCCACAAAACACAGACTGCCTGCACACCTCACCCTTTAAGGATAAATAATTACCCATTTAGATAGAGATATATCATATACATACACTGAGAAAGAGAGCTTACATATACAGACTGCGCAGCTCTCACATCGGTGTACTATAAAGCACTTTCTTTTCTAGTCTCTCATTTCATCTTCAAAATAATCCCATGAGGTAGGTAAGGCACCAGCCTCATCTCTAGAGCCACAGCTGCCAAGAATTCCACCCTAGCTTCATAAAGACTTACTAGAGAAGACTGTGAAAATATTCTTTAAAATTAGCAAGATCGAGCCCGACAAGGGCCCAATCGCAACTCACCGTCTATAAGCAGGGGGTTGTTAATGTAACGGGAGACCAGGATGTTCTCCTCCAGGGAAATCTGGTTCGGCTATTGAGTAAAGAGAAAGAATAAAAGGACAGAAATCCTAACTCACAATAAGGGGACAGAGTTCTTGACCTTTCAGAAACAATAAGGTGGAAAACTACAACTCTTAAGAAAAGTTTTCCTCCCACCTACCCCTATATTCAACTGGTCAGGTAACACACCATTTATAAACACTATGGGTATCCAATTACAATGGGGGAAAAATATACCACTTCTCACATAATAAAGAGAGCAATAACAGCTTTAAAGATTTATATACATGATATTAAATAGTTACATGCCAAGAAAATAAAAGCTACTCAAAACATAAATAAAAAGGTGCTTTCTCCCAAATGTAAAGTATGATGGAAATTTAAAATACCACCATTATTCTTAAGTAAAGGCTTTCATCAAGTTGCTTAGGGAACTTACAGATCTTTCCCCAGTGGATCCTGGCATTTTCCCTGAGAAATGAAACGATGTTTCATTGATTCATTCAGTTGTACTTCCTATGCTATTACATATAAAGACTGAACTAGATCTCTTAAAGAGTTTTTCAGTGAAAAATGAGTTTATACAATAAGTAATCATGAGTACTGTTTGATACTGTATAAAGTACTGAGGATCCAGTGCAGACAGATACAATCCCTGCCCTCACAGAGCCTAATCCATACTTCCAAAGAGTTTAATATTTAGGTAAAGTTAAAGGAACACAAGCAGCATATCTCCAAGTGCAAGACGTGAGACTGCACGAGTCCAAGTGCAGACCAGTTAGGTGGATCAGTGGGGGAAAGCCTATTCTGGAAGAGTAGGTGCAGAAGTGAGTGCTGAAAGCTACTGAGCACGTGGTGGAAAGGAAAGGAAGCTGCCATGGAAAGGTGGCAGACACAGGGTTCAGTAGAAAGGAGAGTAAGCAGATCACTGACCTGGGGCTAAATGACTGACCTGAGGAATAATGAAAGGTATGGTTAGAATATTAGGAGGGAGGGACCCCGCTGGCAAAGGGATTTGAACCCCCGACAAGGGGAGTTTAGCCTGAACGTGGTGGGAAGGAGGAAATGACTGTGGATTCTTAATAGTAAGATTAAAATATATGGAATAGCACAACTCTAAGTGAGATTAGATTAAAAGAAAAATCAGCTGGAAGTCACCACAATCTATACAGGACAAAAGGACTCCAAAAGGGAAGTGACTAAAATAATAATTGTAATGATAATGGCTACAGTAGTAGCAACAAAAATAACTATTAACATTTGCAGGGAAAAAAACGTAATAAATGTACTGAACATTTGCTACATGTCCAGCGTTGTTCTATGTGCTAATTCTTCGCAAGTATTATTTCCTTTAGTCCTCACCGAACCCGATGAGGTAGGTATATTACCATTCAAATATTAGAGATGAGGAAAGAGTCAGGCAGGGTGACAAAGTCACACAGTGACAGAAGAGCACTGGAACCCAGCCAGTTGGCCTCAGAGGCTTAACTCTTAAAGTACTATTCACATCTTTCCCCAAACTTCTGACCTAAAATACTATCCCCCAAACTCAAAAGACTGTCTTTATAATAATGCATTTGCTACCCCAAATACTACAGTTACCATAAAATAAGGATAATTTTGTGGCCTGTAACATCATGCACAACCACGATGAGCAACTCCAGAGTCAAGATAAAGAGATTCCCTGCTCATCTCCCACTGTTGCATCACACGGACCCGGCGACAGTCAGTGCTGATTCAGACTCATGGACCTGATCGCCCACACCACTTCCGGACTCCCTTACATTTCTTGATCACTTTCTCACAAGTACTATCTCCATTTTGAGTCAGCTTAGTATGTGAGATTGATGAATCATAGTACAAAGGAGCAAGCCTCAGGCTGTGTTCCAAACCTAAAATTAAACAAATGCAGACCTCTTCCCACTGAGTAACACCTACAGGCTGCAACAGATACATGACCATCCAACCTTCCCCCGAACCAGAGACTACAAATGGTGATGGCCATCCTCCATGACACATCTAATATCCTTGCCCACTTCCTCTTTCCCCTCCCTCATCATACACATTTGTCCCTTGAATTATGCATAATCTTGCACATTATTTAACTTTAATATTTGTTCAATGGTCCGAACCTCTCATTTCTACCTACATCAGGAATTAAATTGTAAGCTCATCAAAGAAAAGAATGGTTTGGGTATAGTTTCTTTGTATAGTGTTACATACTAAGAAGCAACTAATGAAAGCTTTTTGATATTTTCAAGCCTGTTTCCTTTTCATCATTCCCCAACTAACTCATTTCAAATGATTTCAATTCCAAGCTCAAAATGCCCTCCAAAGTATACTAATGCAAGATCTAAGTTGTTGGGAAAGCTGGAAACACATCCATTTTTCTAATTGGACTTTAAGATGAAAGCTCATGGTATCTGTTAAGTTATTATAAGGCAGAATGGTACAGTGGTTAAGAGTGTTAGGCTCTGGAATCAGCTAGACCTGAGTTATAATCTTGACTCTACCACTTACTAAGGAAATAACAGTAACTACCTAGGGTTCTTCTAAAGACTAACTGAGTTTATATTTGGAAGGTACCATGACAGGCACACATTAAATGCTCAAGATATATCAGTTATTACTCTTAGTGCAAACTCAATAGTACCTCTATGGTTCTACTAAGTTCCATAACTCAACAGCCTTCATCATGGCATACCACGTGCCATTTCACTCAGAGCTGCGCACTGCACTAAGTTACAATGAAGATACATTAGCTTAGTATCATTGTTAGTATTAAGAGATAATCCCTATTCCTCAAAAGGTTTTAAGGATTGGCAGCACCTGGCACACAGTAAGGACTCGCTAAATATTTCCTGAACGATGAGAAAAAATAGAGAGCACTTAAGATAACAACGTATAAACAACTAGAAACAAGAGCACTATAAAGAATATATTCACAAATATGGGGAGTAAATAGAATGACCTAAATATTCTCCTGCTACTTCAAAATCCCAAAGAAAATATTAATATTGTATTTACCGTGGATAATGTGTGAGACAAGGATGACAAAATTTGACCTCCATGATCAAATTTGTACCTTAAGCAGAAAACACGATATCTTTCCCTCAACTTGAATATATTAAACTGGGAAAATACAGCACTTAGTCATGGTTACTGAAGGAGCTGGGGCAAACACAACTCTGCTCCTCTATGCTGTATTTCTAGAGGTAAAGAGCACATCTTAAGAAACCACGTTAGCTGCTAGGCCAAGATACTTCCGTCTTTAAGAGCTCACACTTCTCTCTTCGGTATTTCGTGAAAGTAACGCTTTTCCTGTCCTTTATCCTGTTCCTGTAATGGTAAAAGTTGCTATTCGCAGACATTTTCCAAAAGGTTATGACTATTATTGGGAATTTTTAATAAGAGGCCCTCTCCAGTGGGGAAGACAGGGAAAGATGTTTTCATTTGGCCCTCACACCTAACTCCACCCGCCCCCCAAGTCCCTCACCCACTCCCGTTAGTTCTGCTCACAGACCCTCCGCCTGAGCCCGCCCTCCCGTGCCCCCCCCCAACTCAAATCTAAAAGGAAAGCAGGCAGCGGCCTTGGAAAGAGTTACTTCATCCAGTTGGCTAATGGGTCACATATTCCATGGGAAAGGATCCAGGTATGGAAAAGACAGGATGGTGAGGCCTTGTGTGTAAGGACAGAGAGAAGAGTATTAACTACATGGTTTGTAGGTCTGAGTAAAAGGTGATAAAAATTCCAGTTTTTGGAAGGAAATAGGAATATTTTCCCATTATGTCCACATGTTGCCAGCTCTGCTGGTGCCTGCTGGCATCTCCCCAGGCTTCTGTCTGGCACCTCCACCAAATACCTCAAAGAATCAGACTCATTCCAAAGCTTCACTGAGGGGGAGGAGGGAGGCAAAGGGTCCTGCCAAGTACTTTGATCTATGCAGGGGGTCTCTAGGGATTCAGCCCAGGGAGAGGTGGGAGGGAGAAGGAAAGCCTGCCAAACGCATTCTCTGAAGACTTGTCACCCTCTACGAGACTCCATCCAGGGAAGAGTTAGGGCACCGGGTTCTCAGCCCCACCAAGGAAAAGTTTAACTTTTCTATTCTTTATGATGTTGGTTTCAAAATAACAAATCACTAGAGCAAAAATGCATTCCAAAAGAAAAACGTCCCAGATGAGCTGGAAATAGATCCTATTCTTTTTGACTCATGTCTAAGAAAATAAAAAGCAAACTTGTACCACAGTTGACTTTCAATAGCAATTCCATTTGGCAGCTAAAACCCAAACCCAAACCAGTGCTGTCTGTGAGATTCAAACAACACTGGAGCTCCTGGCATGGAGCTGAAGGAAAAGTTGTCAGACAGGAGCCTTCACGCCAAGGTCAGAACAGAAACAAGAAAAGAGAGATCCGAGGCATATGACCAGGGCCTTCTGTCACAAGAGACTCAAGGGCAAAAGGCCTCCAGAGTGACCCAGGGCCAGGTAACAGGACTTGTAGTCTGGGCCTCAGGCTCAAGTAGCTCCTGTATCAGAACGAGATCCTGTAAGGTCTGGCCATCAGTAGTTACCAAACAGTTTTCAGTCCAGACTGAATTTAAGGATTTTTCAATGTGAAAGACCTCTCAGAAAGTTAGTTTCTGCACGTGTAGGAAATAGCTCAGACCACGTAAAAAGAGGATTGGGGAATTTTAAAATAGAGCACTTGACCACACACACACACATATCTACCTCCCCTTCTTCCCTTCCAGAGTCCCACTGGAAGGACAGAGGAGATATTTTTTAAAAGAATGAAATGATAACAAAGTTAGAAAACATTTAAAGGAGCCAATAATAGACCAAAAGTTGAAGGAAATCCTGAAAGATAGAAAGCAGATGGGATCAGGTTGAGAAAACAGAGCAAAGGAAGGAAAATATCAGAGGTGAGAATGATCTTCTCAAGGAGCCTCTGAGAAGTCCCAAGCTGGCAGGAAACAAACACGAGGAGCAGGAGTGGGCCAAGGAACAAGAATCAGATAATTAATTCTTAATTAATTCAGTGGGCCTCCTCCAATACCCAGAGCTTTGCCCTCAGCATAAAACCTAATGATAATACTCTGAGGAGGACATCTTGCGTGGGCACAGAGATCTGACAAAAGAGTGGAATTTGAGGCCACCCTACCCCTACAATAGACAGAGAGAGGAAAAGACAGGAAAGGTAGTGCTGCCCGGAAGGGAAATCACCAAAATCTTCTTCTGTATTCACAATAAGGCAGGAGGTGGCAGGAAGAAGCATGCTCCTCACTCACATCCACCTGAGGCGCAGCCTGTCAGTCAACACCATTTGCCCTTGCACAAAACCGAGTTAGCCTTCTGTCCAGGGAGAAACTACTAGGGAATCCGTCCTATACAACAGTACCTGAAACCCAGGCCAGCTGTCAATTTCAATCATTCTAGCCTTTAGTTCACAAATACACCCAAGGTCACTGACACCGAGAAAACCCAATAGTAGGGGGGAAAAAAGACAATCCCAAGAAAATTCATGAAACAAAGGAGAACTTTTAAAAAACTTTCAACTGATATCCTCACTAAGACCAACAGGCAAAGTGCATCCATCAATCCATTATGCAACAACAGGTTTTTTTAACTAAAAAAAAAAAGGGCAAACAGAAAGTAAGGGTTTCTACAAACTATGATAGCCAAAAGAGAAATACAGTAGATAAAATGAATATTAAACTGGATAAAGCTCAAACTGGTGATCCAGAAAGATCAAGATGGGAGAAAACAGAGAATTTAATATCAGAGAAAAGCTGACATAAAGGAAAGACCCAGAATGCCTCAAAAAAGAGATCTAGAAGCAGAAACAAAGGCAAAAACAAAGGTTCGGGGGCGCCTGGGTGGCTCAGTTGGTTAAGCGACTGCCTTCGGCTCAGGTCATGATCCTGGAGTCCTGGGATCGAGTCCCGCATCGGGCTCCCTGCTCAGCGGGGGGTCTGCTTCTCCCTCTGCCCTCTTCCCTCTCGTGCTCTCTGTCTCTCATTCTCTCTCAAATAAATAAATAAAATCTTTAAAAAAAAAAAAAAAAAACAAAGGTTCAGGATAATTTTCCCTGAACTAAAGAAAAACACTAGTTTCCAGACTGAATGGGCTGACCAAATGTCCAGGAGTAAGAATAAGAAAAGACCCAAAGTGAAACAGTGGTTCAACTTCAGAATTCCAGGGGTGCCTGGCTAGCTCAGTTGGAGAAGCATGTGACTCTCGGTCTTGGGGTCATGAGTTTGAGCCCCACGCTGGGTATAGAGATTACTTAAATAAATAAAACTTAAAAATTCCAAAGCTGTGAGGTTACTATTGAGTTTAAATTTTTTATTCAACTTATAAAGCAAAGAAATGGAATCATAGTTATTGAAGATAGTATAATTTTATAAACTCTTAAAATATAAAAATAATAAAAAGTAATCAAACTTAGACCTGAAATGTGGAAGGGAGGGCAGGAGGTGATGTGAATTCAATACACATCAAACTGGGACTTTGGAAAGTCAAGAAAAGAAACATAAATCAACTGTATTAGGTTACAAACCACTGTTAAAAGTCTAGGAAGTAAGACTGGGGTTGAGATTTTATTTTATTTACTCTGTATATGTGTTCAGCTTACAAACCACTTCTAATGAGGATTTTGTAAAGATTCAAGATACTGATAATTTTTGAAAAAAATAAGGGGATGAGGAGGAGGAAGGAGGAAGAGGGAGGGAGATGCAGAAACAGCATCAAGGATGCCATACCAAACAGGTTAATTTCCTTAATGATCTCGAGGGCAGGAACCCACAATTCTGCTCACAATAGAAACTAAATGTATATGCTACCAATTAATGCTTAACACTGAAGAATTAATCTGACGATATGCCAGAAGTAGAAAAGGAACATCTTTTCTGCTGACACCAAAGGCTGCTCTTCCCTAACATTTGATCGAGTGACTTTTTAGCCACAGAGGAACTGCCGGCATAGGAAGAGGTTACTGCCAGAGTAAGATGAATAGTAGGCAATTCATATCCACCCTCAACTCACATGTCTGAATGCAGATTTCAGAAGGGAACACCTATTCTTAATGAAAAAAAAAAAAATGATATTAGTAGCTAGGACAAAGGCTGAAACAGGGAAGAACCAATAAGAAGACAGGGTGAGGGGGTGCCAGGCTGGCTCAGTCGGTGGAGCATGTGACTGACTCCTGATCTTGGGATCGTGAGTTCAAGCCCCACATCGGGTGTAAAGCTTACTTTAAAAAAAAAAAAAGAGGAAGAAGAAGAGAGGGTGCCACCTTGCTGCATACTTACATTGTTGATCAGGTAGACACCCCGCCCCCTAGAAGAGGCCACTGGTTTTACTATCCAAGGTCCCCGGTCCTTTGAATATGAATCTGCTCAAAATATTGGGAGATTAGAAGGGGGACAGAGAGAAACAAAGAGAAAGAAAGGACAAGAGTTTATTATCTTCAATTTCAACAATGGTTATCCACTCAGACACCCGAAGCATTTTCCACATTTCCTAAGCGGAGGGCAGCACAGCTAACATACCTGTATTTTTGAACTGGCTTCAAAAATGAACACAAAAACAGAGGGGCAAGGAAAGGAAGAAGGAGGAGACAGCAAAATTACACATTTCTTCCACCATTTCCCCTCTTTCTTGAATGAGAGGATGAAAATAAAATAAGGCAACTCTCTGATGTTAGTCTAGGACTATCACAAACGGTCTTCAGGAATCTTTTGAGATTCTCGCCTCCGTCAACCAAAGGCCCTGCAGAGGCTCACACTGCAGACAGTGCCAATGGGGGTCAAACACTAGATCACCTGAAATGATAATGTTCCTTAAGCGATTTCTCTTAGCTTGTAAGAAAAAAATCGCCTTACGTCAAGCCATGTGCAAGCGGCACAAGAGGGCAATAATTTACAAGGGATTAAAAGGTGCCCTTTACTTCTTTTTTTTTGTACAATAGAGTGACTCAACATTTATATACGTTATGAAATAGCACAATGAGCGAGTTACCATCTGTCACCACATGGAGTTATTACAATATTGACTGTATTCCCTACGCTGTACTTTTCATCTCCGTGACTTGTTTATTTTATAACCGGAAGCTTGTACCTCTTAATCCCCTTCACCTATCTCACCCTCCCCCCACAACTGCCTCCCCTCTGACAGCCACCAGCGTGTTCTCCGTATTGAGGAGTCTTTTCATTTTTGCTTATCTATTTGTCTTGTCTTTTAAGATTCCACACATAAGTGAAATCATATGATATTTGTCTTTCTCTAACTTATTTCACTTAGTACAATATCCTCTGGGTCCATCCATGTTGTCATAAATGGCAAGATTTCATTCTTTTTATGGCAGAGTCATATTCCATTGTGAATATATACCACATCTTTATCCATCATCCATTGATGGACACTTAGGTTGCTTCCAGAATTCGGCTATTGTAAATAATGCAGCAATAAGCACAGGACTGCAAATATCTTTTTGAATTAGTGTTTTCATTTTCTTCCAGTAAATACCGAGAAGTGGAATTGCTGGGTCATATGATATTTCTATTTTAATTTTTTCAGGAACCTCTACACTGTTTTCCATAGTGGCTGCACCAATTTACTTTCCCATCAACAGCACACAAGGGCTCCCTTTCCTCCACATCCTCGCCAATACTTGTCATTTCCTGTCTTTTTGATACTAGACATTCTGCCAGGTGTGAGGCGACATCTCATTGTGGTTTTGATTTGCATTTCCCTGATGATAAGTGATGTTGAGCATCTTTCCACATGTCTGTTCTTGATTTAACCCTCTCCTGTCTCCTCTGGGATCCGTTCCCTTGTTCCTATCTTCAAGCTCGCTCTCCTCTCTGGGGTGCTTCTTCTCTTTTTCTCTCCTTATGATCACATCTTCCTCTAAACTGGCAACTTCCAGAATCTATTACCTTTGGTCAGAATTCAACTCTACCTTTACAACTGCCTGCAAATCACCACATGGAAGCCTCAAATCCATACCCGGTCCCAAATTTCACACTCCTCATCCCTTTCAATAGTTCTTCCTTTACGGTCCCGGTTATACTCTCTGGTTAAAGACATGCTGATGCTCCTAGCTTCTCAGATTCACACCTGTGGAGCCATCTTTGACCCTTGCCTCACTACTCACAGCCAGTTGGTACACTTTATTCTACCACTCTTTCCACTCCCTCTTTTCCTATTCCAGCTACCTAGTTCAGTCCAACTACACTTCTTAACTAGATTACCGTAATAGCCTTCCAAGTGATCACTGTATTCTTCCCCTTGCTCCCTCCAATTCATTTCACACAGTTATTTTTCTAAAGGCTAACGTGTTTGTGTCCCTTTCTTTCTCAAAAATCTCCTATTGCCCACACTCAAGTGAGCCAAGGAGGGACAGGAACACAAGAGTCATGGAGAAAATGGAATTTCTGGGTTATAATATGCTAGGTGGACACCAAAGGAAGAGAAGAACTTAAAAAAGACTTTATGAAGAGGAGGAATGTTTCTTTGAAAAAGGAAGTGGTACAAATAGATGGGTTTCTCCCCTAATATGTAACCTTAGCAGTGCAACTAACCTAACAATGTTGGATCTCCCCCAAATGAATTTTAACTTAGAGGTCATGGACTCTGGACAACTGGCAAAGAATGACTGGCATCCTGGCAAGACTGAAACCAAGAGACTCCTTTTTACTATCACATCTTCCCTGTCCCCCCCTTTTCCACAAACACGGTATGTCCCTGCTGTGGTCTTGGGTGATGACATCAGTAAGTGATTTGTTTGGGGAACACCATTTGCCTCTAGTAACTGCCCTGGGGCTAAACATGGTGGCTTTGAGTTATGGCTATATTAATTCTGTGTGTTCTGTTGACCTTTTGAATTCATTTTTGTTAAAAAGTAGAACACATACACGTTTGAATAATACACTAAAGAAGCAATCCTACTGAAAGGCAGGTCATGTTTGAACTGATGGAGAAACCCTAACTCTATCCAATCATCTGAAGAAGCATCCCCACCCCCCAGCCTGCCTCCAAAGGGAGAACAGGAGAATAAGAAATAGCAGAGAGAGGACAAAGGGAATTTTCATCTCAGATTCCTATAGACTTCAAAAGGGAATTAATGTAGAATTTAACAGGAGGAGTTCATATCTGGGACATGCTGCTAACACATTAGTTGAAGTATTTTTATGCTATCATGTTGGCTTATTGCATAATTTTTTACTTTTATTACATAACAATACATCTCAACATAACTCAAAATAAGGAGTTCATACTGAACATTTATTAAACACCTATCAGGGTACCATTCCAAGTGCTTTCCATGTATTAACCTATTTAAACATCCCAACAACACTATAAGGTCAGTACTATTAATAATCCCATTTTACAGAGGAGGAAGCTAAGGCACAGAGTAGTTTAAGTAATTTGGCTAAAGTCACATAACAAAAATTCTTAACTGTAAGTTTTCAGCTTTGAGTGCACTGTAGCTTTGAACTTAATTCATTTAATTAATAGTCTCTTCTGACCCATTTCAGAGCCTTCTGTGGGCAAACACTGAACTGTCAATGGTCCCAGCTGGAACAATAAGTGCTATCGGAGAAATGGCCTCACCAAGATGAAGCAGGAGATCCTGATGATGGAAATCCCAGAAGATGAACACCCCAATGGGCAACCAGACCAAACTGTTAAGTCTAACAGGTTAAGAAAACCACAAGTCAGGAAGTCTAGAGAGAACTTTCTCTTCCTCTCTCCATGCTTCCCAAAACAGGAATAGTCTCTCTCTTGGACTTACTGAGAAGATAGATATCTATGTGTCTGTCCTCCCAGACCCTCCTCAGAGAAGAGGCCTCTCTCACTGGTGATACTGGGAAATGGACACTATGCACAAACGGCTCTGGGTCTTTAAGCAATAAGGCCCGGTGGTGAAGAGCATGGTCTCTGAAGCCAAACCGCAGAGTCTGAACCACCATTTGCAAGCTACATAACTTACAGAAAGCTCCTGACCTCTCAGTACCTTCGTCTCTTCATCTGTAAAACTGGGAATAACAATGGTACCTACCTCAGAGTAGAAATGCCACTTAGAAGAGGGCCTAACAGAAAGGAGATGTTCGTTACATGTTAGCTTTTATTATTATTATTTCTCAGACTCTCACAAAAGACCTGCCTCCCACCTTCTTTGTACTCACACCTCTTCTGTGCACCACGCCTACGGACTCAGGCTCTGCCCCCAGGGAGGAAAGTCTGAAATAGCCCATTTCGTCTACTTGGACCTGGGAAAGATAGTTGACTTCAAGGCAAAAGAAATAAGAAGCTTCCACTGAGACTGGGAAGCAAGCCACATGTTCCTACCTAGCTTTACCAGCAAGATAGCTGACATTTAGATCCCTATTTGGCTAATAACACCTGTACTCTTCAATTAGTCTGAACTCCCAGTGAGAGTGTGACTAACTGGTACCTCTAAACCCTCACACTAAAAATGTGTGATACTTGTGCTTTATAAGTCACACAAGTCAAGAAATTGAGGTGACAGGAATATTCCTTAAACGGCAAGAAAAAAACAGACGCCAGAAAGGAAGCACATATAGTTCAAATGCAGAAGTATATACATCCTTACATAGGCACTAAGTCTTGCCAGTGAAGAAACTTTCTGCACCAGACAGGGGCACAGGTGTATGACACCAATGTATCCTTCTAGAAACGCCAGCAACAAGCTTACTAAAAATAAACCTACAGGGACACAATCAGAATAAAAACAGGTTTAAAGTTATCCCTCCAGGGGCGCCTGGGTGGCTCAGTTGGTTAAGCGGCTGCCTTCAGCTCAGGTCATGACCCTGGAGTCCCGAGATCGAGTCCCACATCGGGCTCCCTGCTCAGCAGGAAGTCTGCTTCTCCCTCTGACCCTCACCCCTCTTGTGCTCTCTCTCACTCTCTCTCAAATAAATGAATAAAATCTTTAAAAAATAAAAATAAATAAAAAAAATAAAGTTATCCCTCCAGCCGTTTTACTAAAGAAACACACTGTTTTAAGGATCTGAAAAGCTCTAATTAGTTACTGACTCAAGCTAGTCCTTGGGGTAACTGCCCTGAGCCCAGTTGCAGAGGGTCGGGGCGTTTGCAGCCAAACACTTACTACAGAATTCCGCATACTCGGCTGGCAGAAGGAAGGTCTGAGGGAGGATGTGAAAAGCCTTGAACCCATGTGTATGCTGCATTCGAATGATGTTTTTGTACAGTCGGTCTTTCCGGGTTAGTTCATAGGACCTAAAAATCATAAAAGTTTTCCATTTCAGTAAAGTCTGACTCCGAGGTTTTCCTGTGTTATCACATACTACAGAGCTCATAGTTTGGAGCTAGAACATGTACCAAGGACTGGATTACATTAGATCGACCACTTTGTCAACCCCAGAGTTTAGTAATCATTTTCATAAAATGGATTTCTCTGGTCAGATTTATTCACCGAGGTAAAATTGACATACTTTTTAGTGTATAATTCTGTGAGTTTGAACAAACATATGCAATTATATAATCACCACCATGAACAGTACCAGCATCCCAAAAAGTTACCTCCAGTCCCTTTGAAGTCAACCCTTCCAATCACCTCCAGGGCCTGGCAAGCATTCATCTGTTTCCTGTCCCTCTAATTTTGCCTTTTCCAGAAAGTCAAGTTCATGGAATCATATATACGTGTCTTTTTGAGACTGGCTCCTTTTCCCAAGACTGGCAACAACTGAGATTCATCCTTGTTGTTGCCTGCATCAGGATTTCACTCCTTTTTAGGGCTCAATAGTAATCCATTGCTTGGATGGACTGCAGTTTCTTTATCCATTTACCAGTTGATGGACATGTAAGCTCTTTCCAGTTTTTGAAGATTATGAATAAAAGCACTAAAAGCATTATGTACATTCTTTTGTAAGAACATAAGTTTTTGTGTGGACATAAGTTTTGATCTCTCCAGGAATGAGACTGCCAAGTTCAGTAAGATTGTTTAGTAAGTTCTATTAGTTATCTATTGCTGCATTATAAATTACTGCCAAAACACTACAGCTCAAAATAATGATAAACATTTTCCATCTTATAGTTTCTATGGGTCAGGAATGTGGGGGTAGCAGGGCTGGGTAGTTTTATCCAAGGGTCTCTCATGAGGCTACAGTCAAGACGCTGACCAGAGCTGTGGTCATCAGGCTCAACTGGGGCTGCAGGACCGACTTGACAAATAGCTCTCTCGCATGGGGCTGGTTGTTGGCAAGAAGCCTCAGTTCCCTCCCATGTGAATTCTTCTGTAAGGCTGACTATCTTCGTGACGTGACAGCTGGTTTCTCCTAGATCAGGTGATTCAAGAGGGAAAGGGAACAAGGAAGGAGCTGCATGTCTTTCGTGGCACAGTCTCAGAAGTGACACATGGTCACTTCAGCCACACTCTATTCATTAGAAGTCACAAAGGCTAGCTCACACCCAAGAACACAGAAATTAAGCTCAACTTTTTGAAGGCAATGTCAAGGAATTTGTGAACATGTTTTAACACTAACACATGTGTAAGTATATATTTAACTTTATAAGCAACTATGACCCAAAGTAGCTGGACCGTTTGGCATTTCCCACTGGCAAAGTTTCCGCATTCCATTGCACTGCATCCTGACCAGCATTTGGTGTTGTCTGGTTTTTCCATTTTGTTTTTAGCCATTCCAATAGGTAGGCAGTAGTACCTCAAGTGTTTTTTTAAAGATTTTATTTATTTATTTGAGAGACAGCAGAAGAGCACAAGCAGTGGGAGCAGCAGAGGGAGAGGGAGAAGCAGGCCCCCTGCCCAGCAGGGAGCCCTATGCGGGGCTCGATCCCAGGATCCTGGGATCATGACCTGAGCTGAAGGCAGACGCTTAACCAACTGAGCCACCCAGGCGCCCCAACCTCAAGTGGTTTTATTTCTCATTCCACTACTGACTACTGATGTGGAACATCTTTTCATGTCTATCTTCGTCAGTGAAGTATCTGTTCAAATATTTTTAGGCTATTTTGAAAAAAAAAAAAAGGGCTATTTATTATTGAGTTTGAGAGTTCACTATACATTCTGGATACAAATTCCTTATGAGATATGTGTTTTGCAAATTACTATTGAGCCCTAAAAAGGAGTGAAATCCTGATGCAGGCAACAACAAGGATGAATCTCTTCTCCCAGTCTGTGGCTTTTCATTTTCTTAACAATGTCTTTCAAAGAGCAGACATTTTAAATCTTGAGGAAATCCAGTTTATCAACATTTTTCTCCTATGGATTGTGCATTTATTGTTATGTCTAAGAAATCTTTACTAAATCCAAGCACATAAAGATTTCCTCCTATGTTTTCTTCTAGAATTTTTACATTTTACACATATTTAAATCTGATTCTTTTTGCCAAATGGGTTTTATGAGTATAAAATCTATTTTAAAACAAACTTCAAATATAAACAAGCAAAAAAGACAGTGTTCTAAGTTTGACTTTTGATAAATATAGTAAAATTTTCTAGGTCCAAAAACCAAATACATCAAATAAATTCTAGCTTCATCAGCAGCCTGTGACTATTCACTACTAAAAATCATTATGAAACATTTTAGGAACACTACACGTTGTATGTTAATTGAGTCACAATTCTTTAATAGTACAAAAAAAAATCTAGATTACCCAAATAATGAAAAAACACTAGTACCCCCACTAACAAGTTCTAAACCCAAAGCATTCTGGGAATTTTTACACAAAGATACCTAGAGGACGTGACCTTCTGAGAAACATGGCCTGAGCAAAGGTTAGCATACTTGAAAACAGTACCATTCAGGAAAATAAAAGATGTGGCTACCTTACCCATATTTAACAGCAATAATTGCCCAACCTCTCATATAACTATATGGAACTCGCATCATCATTAGTAAAACAAGTACCAAGGGTCTGATATGTTTCTCCTACATAGCGTCCAAGATAGACCTTCATTTTAGACTACAATGGGCCTACTGGAGTAAAGTCCCAGGTCACTAGGTTAAGAATCCCACTGACAACTAAATTTACATCATTAGAAGACGGATATGTAAAAGATAAAATTTTAAAGAAAAGCCAAGGAAATGATCACCATAAACTTCAGGCGGTAACTGCCACCTATCAGGCTGTATGTTCTGGAGTACTACAAACAGGCACTTCAGTTAGCCGCAACTGGACTCATGAGTTCCACTATTGGTTTCTAGTCATGGTTTGTTCCACTATTTAAAAACCATCTAAGGGGCACCTGGGTGGCTCAGTCGTTAAGCGTCTGCCTTCGGCTCAGGTCATGATCCTGGGGTCCTGGGATCAAGCCTCACATCGGGCTCCCTGCTCGGCGGGAAGCCTGCTTCTCCTTCTCCCACTCCCCCTGCTTGTGTTCCCTCTCTCGCTGTGGCTCTGTCAAATAAATAAAATCTTTAAAAATAAATAAACAAACAAATAAATAAATAAAAACCATCTAAGAATCTTTGCTGTAACCACTAAAAACTTACTGTGTCTGTACCTCAGTTCTAATTTTTCACTATGATTTCTTAAATTCAAAGGTAGCTTTGACAAGTCTAGGTATCACAAACTCACTGTCCTCTTCATAAATGTAGAGCAGAGGTCCTTAAATTTTAGATAAGAATCATCTAGAAAGTTTCTTTAAAATTATTGTTCCTCGGCCCCATCTCTCAAAAGTCTAGGATTCTGCATTTTATACAAGTGTCCCAGGTGATTTTGGTACAGATGGTCCACACTATAATGTTGATTTAGCCTAGAATAGTAATTTCCAAACTTCCCAGATATAAATCACCCTAGTGCTTTTTAAATATATAGCTTTCTAGGTATATACTGACCTAGGAAGATTAAGCATCTAGAAGGTACTTTCTATTTTTTTATTATGTTCAGTTAGCCAACATATAGTATTGATATAGTATTCGATTCATTAGTTGCATATAACACCTAGTGCTCATCACAACACGTGCCCTCCTTGATACCCATCACCCAGGAGAAGGTACTTTTTAAATATGCACCTTTTTAAATATACACCTTGAATCTGCAATGGGATCTGTGATTGTATATTTTTAAAAAGGATCCCCAGTGATGTTTATCATCAGTTAGAAATAATGACGAGAGGACAAGAAAAAGGATGCATTCTCCTATAGATGCCCAATCCTAGTGGTCTCCAAATGCTTTTGCTTGATGCTCCCTATGCAAATTTTGGGAAACTATGTATTTTTTAATTGACACCTAAGATTCTTCATCAAAAATTTAAATTGGGGCATCTGGGTGGCTCAGGCAGTTAAGCGTCTGCCTTCATCTCAGGTCATGATCCCAGGGTCCTGGGACTGAGTCCTACATCGGGCTCCCTGCTCAGCAGGAAGTCTGCTCCTCCCTCTCCCACTCCCCCTGCTTGTGTTCTCCCTTGCTCATTCTCTCTCTCAAATAAAATCTTAAAAAAAAAAAAAAAAACTTAAATTGTCCCAAATGAGCCAATGAATGATAAATATTATTTTAAAATAAAACCCTAACACTACCCTTTTAAGTATATTCCAGGGAACCTAAATAACATCAGGATTCAACAGCCAGCATACATTTTAAAAATATTATCAAAGAGAAAGCTCTTTTCTGTCAATACCTTTTTCACTTTATATAATACACTTTTTACTGAAGGTAATATATATGCAAAAAAGTATACAAATCACAAATGCAAAGCATGATGAATTTTGGTCACCTGCGTGAGCACCCCAAAAGCCTCCTTCATACTCCCACCCAGGAATTATCTCCCAATCACCCTTGCTTTTACTTATTCCATGCCATTTCCCCCAAAGAATGGTTTAACCTCATAGAACATATTTAATGCTTGCAGGTCTTTTATATCATAGCATACCTTCTCTATAATAAAATATGCATGTCAGTTAATACGCATTATTTTCAAATTTCCTGGGATCATTCGGCTATAAATTACTTATGCTGGACTGACTATCATTGCAACTACTGTAGTACACAATTCATCAAAACACCATAAATATGATAAATTTTGATTAAAATGTATGTTATACCAATGTCAAAGTCTCCATTTTGATAATTATGCCACGGTTATAACTGATGTTAATGTCAGAACAAGGTAAAGGATACAGAGTAACTATAATATTTTTGCAACTTTTCTAGCAGTCTAAAATTACTTAAAATAAAGTTAAAAAATCGTATTAAGAAAGAGTTGACAGGGGCGCCTGGATGGCTCAGTCGTTAAGCATCTGCCGTCATGCTCCCAGGGTCCTGGGATCGAGCCCTGCATTGGGCTCTCTGCTCCACAGGAAGCCTGCTTCTCCCTACCCCCTCCCCCTGCTTGTGTTCCCTCTCTCGCTGTGTCTCTCTCTGTCAAATAAATAAATAAATAATCTTATTAAAAAAAAAAAGAAAGAGTTGACAATCATATTGGAAATGTTTAAAGTCCTTGAATTCCTCTTGCATGTGAGTTCAAGTCTTTGGATGCAAACAGGAGAAACAGCAGAAGCCATGAGACACAGTGCACCTAAATAACGGGTTGTTAATGTGCTCGAACACGCAAGGGTAGTACATTCAAGCAGCACTCAAGAAAAGATAGGATCAAATTTATTAATACTGATGAGTCTAAACTGAGAGAGAACTCCTATATACCTATGGGAGTATTTCAGAAACTATTAAAATAAAGAATATACTACTAACATGAATTTGGAATGCAGACTCTAGTGTGGGCTATTTCAAGGACTCTTTAAATGCCTGTTGAAAATAGATGCATCTGATTCACTTCAATCATCGAGTCACACATTTAGAATACCAAATCCACATCTTCCAGACAATGAGGGAGAAAATAAGGTTTAAATTGGTTTAAATTAAATTGGTTTAAATTAAAATAAGGTTTAAAAATCTCTGCAAATGAAGCTGAGACATCAAATAAAACTGGAACTTGTTATGAAGACTCAAAACACACGTTTATCCCAAATTATGAAGAAACTATTTGACACAGGCCAGGTACTTACACATGGTGACGAGATATAAGACAACAGAATTGAAAAATCAAGAAAGAAACTTCATTAGATAAAAATGAGAAAAGCATATAAGGTCACTGAAAATAAAACCTGTTAGCCTAAGTACATAAGAATATTATGTAGGACGTAAGTCCTGGAAATAAAATAAAACCTAACCACTGACCAAATAAAAAAATTTGTACTGGACTTCCTTCTCTTCATCAGATGAGTTGGTCATCTATCTATCTATCTCTCCATGGTTGAGTATGACTGCCAGAATAAGGTAGGGTTTCAGCATCAATTTTATTCCTATTTTCTTTTTCATGGATGAAAATACTAAGAAACTCTGGTCACAAAAACAGTAGCTAAGACTTCTACAGTGTTTACTATGTGACAGGCATGCACTGTTCTAAACATCTTAGATCCTGATAGATTAAACCCTCACAACAGTCCCATGAAGTCTGTGTCATTGGCAACATCTTTTTACCAACGAGGAAACTGATGCTCAGAAAGGTCATGTTTGGTGGTCACTCAGCAGAGCTGGGATCTGGGCCCAGGTAATTGATTACAGAGCCTATGCTTCTGGCCACTAGGCAGCATTGCCTCTCTAGGCTGCCGTTAACAATATGATTGCAAGGAGTTTTCTATCACAATGACACTCAAGTCTTTGAACAGCTTCCTAGTTCTGTGTCAGAAAGTCACAAGATGATCGATCTATCACTAAAAATTAAAATTAATAGTCTATCAGCTGACAACCTGATTATGTCCTCCTCTAGTTCCATTAAAAGTAAAGAAATGGAAATCACCACCATGACTGTCCTGTCTGGTAATTTGTCATTACCAGAATTCAATTCAACATCTTTTTTTTTTTTTGGTACTTTTGTTTAGAACCCTGGAAATGTTTGCACCCAAGGACAAGGCACCATATTAAGATTCTAAAGGGCCACTGTTTTATAAAGGGGAAAATAGTAACTGTGAAAAAAGGAGGTGAGAAGGGAGAACCCATCCATATGAAGGGCTCTCAAGCTGCTCAATTTTAAGAAAGAGAACCTACGGTATTTGCAATCCAGAAACAGTCTCCTTTAGGACCATCCATGTCTACACAGTCCTTGGAGAGGCTTCATATAATATATGCTTATGGACGTGAACACCTCAGTTTGATTTGCAGACTGCTGCCCTATATCACAGACTTCTTTTTTTAAGGACATTAATTATCTCTGCTGGCTACATGCCCAATGTCAGGCACCTTTAAATGGAGCAAAGTAGCTACAAGAGCATTACCTGGGAAAGTGATTAACCTTTTGTGCTTCAGAGAGGGTGCGAAGTAAGAAGGGCTTCAGGTGGGATCCCGTCCACATTAGGTTATAGTCAGTGCTGCTTGGGTGAACCTGAGGGCAGATAAAAAGATTAAAAAAACATCAGAGATAGCCCCTCTCCAAAAAGAGAGACGGCAAGAAAGGCCATAGAGATTTTTCACCTACATAGCACAGTGGGTGTCCAGTTAGTATGTAAGCCTAATAAAATAAAAACTGAGTATAAAGAACACAGGGATGATCAAGTATAAAGAATGGGACAGTTGGGGAAATCCCAGACGCAAAAAGTAGAATAAATGAATCCTTCTATAGAAGTCTGTGATGTCTCTTAACATTCTTGCATATCAAAGTATAAGAAGAGGATTCAACCCCACAACTCCCTTCTCAGAGTGTCCTTATGTCCCTGCAGATGATGGGTATAAAGTCTTGATCAAAACTAAAACCTTGTGGGGCGCCTGGGTGGCTCAGTCGTTAAGCGTCTGCCTTCGGCTCAGGTCATGATCCCAGGGTCCTGGGATCGAGTCCCACATCGGGCTCCTTGCTCGGCAGGAAGCCTGCTTCTCCCTCTCCCACTCCCCCTGCTTGTGTTCCTCCTCTCGCTATCTCTCTCTGTCAAATAAATAAATAAAAATCTTTAAAAAAAAAAAAAAAACTAAAACCTTGTGGTAGCAAACTAACTTAGAATATCATCCCTCCATTCATTCATTCATACATTCATAACATTGATTTGTCTATTCATTCAACAATTACGTACTTGGTGCCTATCATGGGATACGTACCATGTTAGGCCCTGGAGATAAAACAGCAAGACAGGATATAAACTAGTATCAGAATGTCCTCAAAATGTCTATTTCAAACCTCAACCTAAGATAAGGAGCTAGCAACCAGACTTTTATTAATTATTTCAAAATATCTACAGGGTAAGTCTGCCCAGCATTTTTGCCTGTCCCTTTGATATCAATATCCCAATTTCCCCAATTTTCTTTGGGAATAACATACTACTTGGTTTTAAAAGACTGCCAGTCACACTACCCACCCCACCCCTTGCAAGGAGTAGATCCATGACCCAAGTTGGACCAATCATACTATCTCCAGAATGTGATTCTTCAGTGAAGAAAGGCACAAGGACAATGAATGGAGTTGAGTCACTTCTATAGGAGTGCCTTGAGGAGACAGTCCTGATTCCTGTTCCCAGATCCCCAAGACTGTCCCAGGCTCTCTCCTTCCAAAGGCCTGCCTTTTCAACCCTTCCTCTGATTCTGCTACCTACGCTATGTATAACTTACCCACAAATTGTTTTTGGTTTAAGTAGGCAGAATCTGTTTGTGTTGCTTGCAGTCAAAGAATCTTAATTAGGTATCAGACAATTCCTTATGGGCAACTCTGTCTCTACCCCAACCCTAAAATCATAGCAAGAAAAATGTGTGGGGTTTTTTTGTTTAAAAGAGAGAAAGAAGAGAGAGAGAGGGAGAGAGAGAGAGAGAGAAATCCTGTGAAAATGTTTTCTATGTATTTCAAGGAGAAACTGATACAGCTACTCAAAAATTCAATGCAAGCTCTGCATTATCACTAAGCATAGGTCCCATGTACCTTCTAGAGCTGCCCTGTTAACTGGTAGTCAGGTGGCTAGGATTTTCAGCTTTAGAGCAGACCAGGTGAGATAGTAAAAATGAGCTTACTTCATGAAATCCATGGGCTGTCAGAATGCTGCGTACCAGGCGACTATCTGTTCGCACAATTTTGTAAGACAAATGATAACGTTCTAAAGAAAAACACAGAATCAAATTCAGTAACCAGAAAGTTAACTGTAGAGACAAACCTAAAGTGTACAATGGTGGCTTGCTTAATTATACTCGAGAACATATACTGCTCCCCTTATGCTACTATAAGCAGGCTGCAGATTACTTTGGGCCAAGGGTTCTTAACCTGAGATTCACTGGGGGTTACGACATCTGGATGGGGGACAAAATGACATCTGTTTTCACTTCTAGTTGACATTTAACATTACATTCAATTACGAAAGTAGGCACAAAGCAGAGCAGTGCTAGCAATGCCTGTGACCCTGCCACCTGTACATGCCAGGTATTTTAATATTATTTTACTGTTGTTACAGTTATCTCAAAATATCACTTCTCATGATATTTAAAAGTTATGGCTAGTGAACACACCTTCCACCAGATCATGTTATGTAATGCACAAATAAAAATGCATATATGTCACAAACTTAGTTTTTAAGAAATATTTTGATAATTCTATTTCAATACAATTGATTTTGTTTATAATCCTATATATTTCTTTATACACTTAAAACACATTATTTGAAGAACAGACCCACAGGCTTCCCCACACCACCATTGCACATTTGGTCCACTGCAGAAAAAGGCTAAGAACCCTTGCTCTAAATAGCCCTCTGTGTTCAGTGATGCTGGTTACCAGTGATTCTTTTTTTTTTTTTTAAGACTCCTTTTTTTTTTTTTTTTTAAAGATTTTATTTACTTATTTATTTGAGAGACAAAGAAATAGCATGAGAGGGGAGCACAAGTGCTCCCTTCAGGACAGGCTCCCGTGCTCTAGTTCAGCACAGTCCCCACACCGTGCTTCACCCACTCACGTTTCCTGCCAGGCCCTGTAAGCATAGTCACCCCTGCCTAAGACAAAAGTCTGTAATCATGTGAGATTTCTGTATATCCCCAAAGACTAACATTTAGTCTGGCCCATGAAAGGCAATCTCTTTCTATGCATCCCTACAAATTGTTTGAGAAAATTAGCTAAAAATTCTACAGAACAATTATTTTTAAAGATTTTTTTAAAGACTTTATTTATTTGAGAGAGAGCACGTGCCTGCGCAGGAGCACGAGGGTGGGGGGGGGAGAGACAGAGGAAGAGGGAGAAGCAGACTCCCCACTGTGCGGGGAACCCAACGCGGAGCTATATCCCAGGACTCCAAGACCATGACCTGAGCAGAAGGCAAACACCCAACTGACTGAGCCACCCAGGTGCCCCTAAATTTTTTTTTAATTAAGTAATCTCTGTGCCCAATGTGGGGCTCAAACTCATGATCCTGAGATCAAGAGTCACATGCTCCACTGACTGAGCCAGCCAGGCGCCCCATCTGCAGAATAATTTTTTTAAAGGACCGCATATTGAATACTTTCTGAATAAGAATAATACAGAAACTTATGAACAGGCCTTAGAACAAAATTCAGCCTCTACAGTCAAAGAGAAGCACACCTTTTTATGAATTGTGTGAAAATATCCATAAATCCCTGTTGCTACTTGCCCAGTCCTGGCAGGAACACCACGCAAAGCAGACACAGGAAGATTGGAATGAAAAGGCCAGACACTCCATACTTCTCATTCTTGTGGCAAACTTCTAAAGTCCAGTTACAGGGTTTCCCCAATAATCAATCACTATTATGTTGCCTTTGCAATACTGTTGTAAGAAAAAAACAGTTCAGGATCCTAGGTGTTTGCTTCGGCCCAGAGTAGAATGTAAGAAACAGTGCACTGCTTAAGAGTTGGTGTTCTGACTCCAAGGTGGGGAGGGAAAGCACAAGATAGGCCTGCAATATTTTGTTCTGCCAAAAAAGAAGAAAGTGCTCACTTTCTGGATAGGGAACCTGTCACAAAGATCTCAGTGGCCAAATTTAAGACAATTTCAACATAAACATGAATATGACAGAGAGAGACTATAATGCCCTTACTAATGAGTCCACACACTGATTAAGAAGGTAAGAAGGTACAATGGTTTTCTATCGCTGCTAAAATAAACTACCACACACTTAGCGCCTTAACCAACACAAATTCATTGTCTGATTATTTCTGTAGGTCAGGAGTCTGACCCAGGTGTCATCAAGGCAAGAGCAGGGCTGCATTCTTTTCTATAGGCTCTTTTCCTTTTTCAGCTTCTAGAAGCTGCCCTCATTCCATGGCTTATTGTCTCCTTCCTCTATTTTCAAAGCCAGCAACAGTGGGTCTAGTCCTTCTCTCATAGCATCCATCTGACTCCTCGTCTGCCTCCTTCTACTTTATTTTTTTTTTTTAAGATTTTATTTATTTATCTGACAGAGAGAGAGAGAGCGTGCACAAGCAGGGGGAGCGGCAGGGAGAGGGAGAAGCAGGCCCCCTGCTGAACAGAGAGCCTGATGGGGGACTTGATCCCAGGACCCTAGGATCATGACCTGAGCAGAAGGCAGACACTTAACCAAATGAGCCACCCAGGTGCCCTGCCTCCTCCTACTTTAAAGGACCCTTGTGATTAAGGTTAGCTGATTAGCAACCTTAATTCCACCTACAACCTCAATTTTCCATTGCCATGTCAGGTAACATTTTCACAGGTTCTGGGGATTAGAAGGTAGACATCTTGGCGAGGACCATTATTCTGCCTCCTATAGAAGGGAAAGCTCTTATTTACAGAAAATCCAGCTAATAAATGTAGAAGGAAAGAAAAAGAAAATCAGCATTTTACAAAAATCGTAAAAGTTCAGACTAAAGTTCATTTTAGTTCAGACTAAAATCAATTGATACCAATGAGTGAGAGACTACTGGGAAACAGAATATTCATGCATCTCCAAACATCATTCCAGAGAATGCTCGTAACAAAGGAGAAAGGCACCCCTCCGATGAAGCAATCTGGTGAACATTATCTCAATGAGAAATCTGCCATCACCAATAACGCAATACAATAATATCACATCCTTCCTAATGTGATACACTGAGGACACAACTGCACTAAGTGATAGTCTTACAAAATTTTTAAACCTGAATCTAAACACATAGAAACAATCAGACACGCCCAAACTTAAGGACATCTGCAAAGCAACTAGTCTTGAAATCTCTAAAAATGTCAGTGCCATGAAAGACACACAGACACACACAAAGTCTGGGAAATTAGAAGAGAAATACGAAAACTATATATAATCTTTGATTTAGTCTTAGATTTTAGAAAATAATAACAGCTATAAAGGTCAAAACTGGAACAATTGGGGAAATGTGCATAAGCACCATATACTAGAGTATTTTACCAATGGCAGACCTTTTGAGTGTCATCTCAGTACTGTGGTTATACAGAGGATGCCCTTGTGCTTAGGTGACACTGCTGAATAAAGCATTAAGGTACAAAGTATTTGAACTAATTCTCAAATGACAAGAAACATGACAAAACATTAACAGTTGGTGAGCACAGGGAAAGAGTATACATCCATTCAACGAAAAGTACTATTCTTAGAGCTTGTCAAAAGGTTTTTAATTTTTTTAGATTGAATGTTTAGGAAGTGAAAGAAAGTCAGGTCTCTTCATTATGATAACTGTGATCACCGACATATCCATTTCTGTACATGTAAAAGCCAAAGCATCATCCATGCTGGAGACCAGAAGTGTGCCTGATTCCACGCCTGTTCTGCAACGCTCGCCTCACAGTACCAGGCCCTGGGGAAGGGAGTCACTAAAGCATGCAGAAAAACAGAGAATGATTAGCTGGGGACTAGGGAGGAAGGGGAAATGATAAGTGGAACTGCCAAGGGCTCAAATCCAGGCTCTACCACTTCCTGCCTGTAATCGTGAGTAAATTATTTCTCTATGGTCAATTTCCCCCCCTTGTCAAATGGTGTTGATAATAAAGGTACTTACCTCATGGGGTAGTTGTAAGCACTACATCAGTTAATATGCATATAACTTTTAGAACACTTGTTGCTACATAGTAAAAATTTTTTTCTTTTTTTATTTAAATTAGCCAACATATAGTACATCCTTAGTCTCAGGTATAGTGCTCAATGATTCATTAGTTGCATATAACACCCAGTGCTCATAGTAAAAAATTTTTTAAAAATATTAAAAATTGTAAAAAAAAAAAAAAGTAAATATGTGGTGAAATAGCTATTAATACATAATATCATACGTAAATTATGCATTTTATATAGCAAATTTAAAAACAAAAATGCTATTAATACTCTTTCTCCTACTTTTCCTAACATAGAAGAAAAATGCAATCATCACTGCACTCAGTGACACAATCCTCACAGTGTGTAAGTAGTAAGCAGTGACCAACAGCTTCTAATCCATACCAACTAACTATAACCCAACTCTGATACATTGTGCATGTTCCAAAAGGGGAGTGCAAGAAAGACAGGGTGGAATGACATAAAGCAAGTGTGATTGCTGGGGATTTTAACTCACATTCATATTCTGTGTCCAACAGCCCTGTGTCCAATAATGCTGATAACCAGTTATAAACTGGTGACCCAAGGGCCAAATCCAGCCTGCAGACATGGTTTGTTCATTCTTTGTGGTGTTTTAAACATAAAACTGAATTAGTCGCTAATCTTTTAAAATTGAAAGAATTCATATAAAAATCTCAATTTCTGGGCTTCACTTGAAAGACCTGGCAACCCTGGGCTCTGCTCCCATGGCAAGAGTCAAATGGAGGCTTGCAACTATAAACTGAACCAGTCCCACTGCCCAAGAAATAACCACCTTATCCGTACTTCCTTCCATATAAAAACAAGAAGCAGGGCGTGGTATTGGTCCGACTAGCAAACTGCCAAACATCTGCTATCTGAGCCTCTGAACATGCACTGTATCCATTCTACCATGAGACTACAGAATTTCCTCTTCTCCAACCACTCCTGTGTGCATCAGGAGGCAACCTAAAGTGCTAGAACTCCTGGCAAATTCCAGGACTGGCAGCAACAGAGCAAATTAAAACAAGAAACCAATACTCTGTCAGCACAGAAGCACCTAGGGAGTGATGACATGCCCTAAGAGGTTTGGACAAAAATAGCCTGGGAAACTAGAATGAAGATAAAACGGACTTTTTTTTTTTACTTTTAGAATATAAGAATAACCCTTTCAATGGCAATATAGTGTAGCTTTGCCTTACTGTCAGAAAATGAGGTCTATACCTGTACTGTTGAATATGGTAGTTGCTAGCCACGTATAACTACCAAGCACCTAGTCAGTAACTAGAGTAACTAGTGTGGGGCGCGCCTGGGTGGCTCAGTCGGTTAAGTGTCTGACTCTTGATTTCGGTTTATATCATAATGTCAGGGTCGTCAGATCAGCCTTGTATGGGGCTCAGCCCTGGATGTGGAGCCTGCCTGAGATTTTCCCTCTGTCCCTCCCTCCCTACCTCCCTTTCTCTCTCTCTCTCCTTCTCTAAAAAAAAGAAAGAAAGAAATGTTAACTAGTGTGACCAAGGAACTGAATTTTTAATTTTAACTTTATTAATTTAAATTTAAATTTGAAGACTGACACTTGATTCAGTATTTGGAAAACTTGTTTGGAACAACCTGAACATATGGATTTACTTTTTCAACTACAATACTTGTAAAATCTAAATACAGATTAAAAACTTCTGATGAAAATTTTGTACCACAGAGATTTTACACTTATAGTGTAAAATATATACTAGATGTCAAATATCTTTCTTTTAAGATTTTATTTATTTATGTATTTGAGAGAGAGACAGAGAGCAAGAACGAGAGCATGGGGGGTGGAGGGGGAGAAGGACAGAGGGAGAGGAGAAGCAGGCTCCCCGCTGAGCAGGGAGCCCTCCGTGGGGCTCGATCCCAAGACCCCAGGATCATGACCTGAGCCAAAGGCAGATGCTTAACTGACTGAGCCACCCAGGTGCCCCTAG